TTTGACTACAAAAATTTCAACAAAAAAAAGTTTAACAAATTAAACTCGCTCCAAAAAATCATCATTGTATCCATCCACATACCTGTGCGCTTTCAAAGATATCCAACAATACCACGAGCATTAGCGCCTGCGTTACGCATCTCAGCGACATCACCTAGCACGGCTGGGTCGGTTATCCGTCTGTTTTCCGCGTAGTATGACCAAAGCGCTTTAGAACAGCGATGATTGTGGAAGCCCTTAGGCTCGACAAACAGGTACCAAGATCCATTCCACGTCACTCGTACGTTGATGCGCGCTGTGCATCCAACATATCGGACCAGAGTGTGCTGTCGTTCGCCAGAGCCACGGGGAGTGTACTTTATCCATGAGTACAGACTAAGGTTTTAGTATACTGCCGCCATGACTCTGGTATCGTGGGCCCGCCAACCTTCTTCTTGTTGTTCTTGATTTGCTTGTTCCGAGCCCCCACGGACGTCGACGAGTGTCCAGGAAACCGCTGGTAAGTCTCTTCACAGAAGCGATCGAACGCTGCGTGGAATGCATCCCATCCATGCCAGCGACGCGGAAACCCATCCAAGAACCCACCGCTGTCTCCAGTAGAAATATTCTCGCCCATTAACTCAGCCTGCCGAGCCTCAATTTCTTCAGGTGTAGATTCTTGTAAATCGTTTGGTGTAAAATTCTGTATTTCACTTTCAAGAACTTCCGACCCACTTAGCGTAGAGCTACTTGCTTCTTCGTTCTCAACATCAAAGGCATCACCACTTGTGGAAACCATGCTTGCGTTGTTCTCACCACTTGCATGATCTCCATCGCTTCCGTCATTTTCCCCAGAAGAAGGTTCGAAATCAGATGAAGCCTTCTCCCCGCTCGAATCAACGTCGCTTGAGTTCTCCTCACTGCCATAATGCGAAGCTTCATCCTCCATTTGCTCCTTCTCTTTCCACTGCTTCTCAAGGGCCTCACGAGTCATATCCGGCAATTCTTTTCCTTGAGCAAGCAGTTTCTCAACGTACGCCTCACGTGCCTTCCACACGATACGCCGCGCTCGATCGGCAGCAGTTGTCTTCCGTGGGTTCCGTGTAGACTTGGTCGAATCACCTCGCTGCGAAGAGCGTCCCTGCAGACATAAAACAACCCCATATAA